TAACTTTCTTCTTTTATGACCACTAATTGGCTTTTTTTCATGACCATTTTCTTTTCTTTTATGGCCACTAATCTTTTTTTTTTTATGGCCACTTTCTTTTCTTTCATGGCCATTCATGTCTCTTCTTTAATTTTAATATATGTTTCAAAACTTTTGCTCTTCTTTCATAGCCACTAACATTCCATTTAAAAGCTATTATCATTTTATTATTATTTTATTAATTATTATTGCTATTTTAATTCTTTAATTCCTAATAGCTTAGGCTAAGATTGTCGGACTAGTTCCTATCTATAAAAATACCATCTATGATATCCAAAATTATATATTATATCCTAAAAATCTATACCTAATCATCACATCATCTAAACACACACACACACACACACACACACATATATATATATATATTAAATTGCATACATAAATAAAGCACATTTACACACATATACATATAATATATTATCATGCAAAGTTTTTGGTTATTACGGTAAAAATAAGGGAATTGGGCTTTTTCGGGTCGGTGGGACCTCGGTTCACTAGGCTAGACCTACTATTAATTTTCTTCCCTTTTTCTTTCTTTCTCTTTTTTTTTTTCGAGCCTCGGCTCGACTTATAGCTAAGCAGGGCGAGCTTAGCTAAGCCTAGCCTTTCTTTTGCCTCACCTAATTCCCCATCCCTAATAGATTTTTCATTTCACCCAAAACCATCAATCAAAACTTCAGCCCTTATCTCCTTTTCAATTCTTTTGTCTTTCTTTTGGATCAAAACCTTATTTCTCTCATCCTCTTTCTTCTTCTTCAAATGAACCCAAAACCTCTCATCTCTCTCTCATTCTCCTTCTTTTCCTTCGAACCCGATCTATTGAACTCATGTATAAAGATCGAACGATCTCTTCTCGTTTCTCAAATGAAAGAAAACCCTAAGTCATGTCTTCTTCTTGTTTTAAATCCCTCATTAGAAAACCTCTTAATCTATCCTTCTTCTTCACAAACTAAAAAAAAAAAAAAACTAAGTTTTGAATCCTTCCTCCATCAAACCCTAACCCTAAATAGATACCCATAACCAAATAGCATAATCGTAGATCAACCTTCAAAACCCTTTTCCTCGAGAAATCTCCAAATCTCTTCTCCTCTTTTCAAACCCAAAAAACAAATGGGTTATTTGTTCTTCCTAAGTTAAAAACCCAAATCTTCATCCCTTCCTCTTAATTAGTGGTTATCGAGTTATTAATCCTTCCTCAATCTCTCCTTTTTTTCAAATCCCTCACCAAATCCCCTAAATCTTTTTTTTTATATCTCAAAATTGTGAACCCTAGATTTCAATTAGTTCCCTAATTGAAACCTCACCCATACTCAATTTCTATAATCAACTAACCACAATTAATACCAAAACCCTTTCACTACCTCAAAACCAATTTTTTTTTTTTTTTTTATCTTACAAGTCTTAATTCAAAGGAATTTTTTTTTAGGCACTAGGAGGTTTTGGTGTGATGTTAGTGATTTCATCACCACCACACTCGATTGATCATAGTTGAAGGTGCAAATAAAGTGATATTATAAACTTTTTACCCGGAGAGTTGATTGAGGGAATTTAGGTAAACGAAGTGCTAGCAATAAGCATTGGCTACCTTAATTAGTGAATAAGGTACTTCGGGATCTAGGAGCTATAGGTGCTACGATTCCATTGTCTTATTTTACAGCTTTGGTAAGACTCCCTAACCAAGGTATAAATTTTTCGATAATGTGTCTTTGTCTCACTTCTTTATGGAATTTCCCCACGCTTTCCTTTAAAATTTCTTTTGTCTTTCCTACAATTCCTTAATACCCCTCTCAATTGTCTAATTCCTTCAAAATTGTCTCTCCCAAGACCCTAAATTCTACCCATTATTTATGCCCAAAACCATCCTCCTTGCTTCTTGGATTAATTCCCTTAAACCCCACACTTCCTCACAAAAGATAATCCTCCTAAGCTCCTGTTAGTTTTGGCTTTATATGAACAAAGACAAATTATAATTCCTTTGTGCAAATGCCTTACATGTCTTGTGTTTGTTTTTATTGTACAGGTTGTTGTATGTTGTTGGAGATATAGGTGCGGATAGACTATTTTGTCCCTTTGGCCTATTATCTTTGTTGATAAAGGTGAACGAGTGCCTAAGGATGGGATAATACAAGGCAAACGTGCCATGACAGAGTTGAGAGAATTTGGATAACAAGTTATTCGGGCTAGTTTCAAATTGGTCATGTCATATGTTTCTCATGTCAATTTAGGTTCTTGTTGGTATAATTTTATCTCAATTGTAACCCTTGAACGAGTAATTGTGGTCCCTATACCTTGTAATTTTAATCCTAAAATTTTCAATTACTTTAATCATATACTTAATTACTTTAATTTCAATTCTATTTTATTCAATCACAACCTTGATGTAATTAGTTTTTTATATTTTTTTTATATTTTTTATTCTTTTTTCCTTTTTTTTCTTGTTTATAGTGAATTCTAATATTAAAATAAAATAAAAAACAAATAAAAAAAACTATAGTAAAATATAAAATAAAATAAAATAAGAGAAAAAAGAAAAGCATTTAAGGGGAGAGATTTTGGGTTATGACATACCTTAGTCCTTCATGACCTCTTAATTAATTCGAACGTAAAATGCAAGATCATGCATAAACTTCCCTAATCTACAATGATGCCTCGTGGATTTTAGAGATGTAATAAAAACTTGTAAGACCATAGTTTAAATCTCGGTTCGCGAGAATATTTAAAAATCTACCTTTCGATTTAAGGAACAGTAGTGTTGAATCGAAGTGGATACACTCCTATCTTAATTTTATCTAAATTCCTTATTAAAAAAAAAAATCTTCATTAGATATTTGAAATTGGGTTCCATCCAAAAGATGTAACCCTTATGGTGGGTGACCCCTTCTCAACCTTATATATTAATCATATTTGGTTTAATTATTCAATATAAGATATATGCTCTAACATTCCTTCTCACTTGCAACTCATTTTTTGGGGTATGTCAAGTGGATTGGACTCCATGATTTTTTCTATTTGAGACTCTAATACCATATAAAATTTGATAATTGAGATTGAGTTTCATCCACAAGATTCAAACCTTAAGATAGGTGACCCATTCTCAACCTTATATATTAATCATCTTCGGTTTAATTATTTAATATGGGATATGTGCTCTAATAATATTTTACTTTGTATTTTTTTGGTTTTTTGTTTTCAAGTATTTTTGTTCTACATTGGAGACATGGCTAATTTTGTTTGGAATGAGAATAATAAAGTTTAACTCTTTCTAACAAGTGCGATTCTTGAATTCAAATTCTGCACATTAATAACAAGTTTATTTGTAATCATCTCGCTTATTTTATATTTTTTAAGAGTAAAATTGCTTTAATAAGTTAAATAGCTAGCCTTGAGTAGGAGAAAAAGAAATGTATCAAATGGATGCTGTCACTTTAGAGCATTTAATTTCTATTTAGTACAAGCGCAAACTTCTGGCCATGAGCAATTCAATTATGTTGCTATTTTCCTGCCTCGCTAATTGATAGGCACGTAAGCTACTTGAATTCAGGGAGAAAAAGGCAGCAACAAAGTCAATATATAAAATGTTGAAGCAAAAACTGCAGTCGGCACCGCTTACCCAATCATGATATCATAAATCACGTGGAGAAACCCTAATTTTGGGTTTGGAGGGAGGGACAAAAGATATTTTAAATTCTGCAAAAGGAGAGTTACACATGTACAGAGGATAACCACAGGCTGAGAGCTAGCTCTGCCATTAGTGAATGTGTTCAATATTGATGAAGCTATCAATACAAGGATTCAATGCTGAATTGACATTTTGGCTATGCAGGTTAATTTCCAATCTGCAGGGTAGATGAAGTTTTGTTTGGCCTGAAACTTTTAACTTGAAATGGTAACCAAAAAGGGAAAAATATTGATGTAAAGAAGAAGATATTGCCTGTGTATGCATGGAAAAGATAACTAAAAGCTCAGTAAATTACTCCATTGATTGATTCGGGTTCGGCCTCGTCAAGGTCTGGTAATGGCTATTAGCAGAAGTAAGGAAATTGAACAGGACACTTAATCCTTGCCAAGGATGAGGTCAGATTTACTTTCTAAGATAAAATCAATACTGTACAAGTTATGGAAAGAAACTGGAAGGAAGTGAAATAGATTCCTATTCGTTATAGCCTGAATATTTTCTCTGAAACCTGCATATTCCTTCAAAAATTGTGCGTTGAATGTTCTTCAGTTGTTTTTCTTTTCTTATTGAGTCTGAAAGTCGTCTCTAAGAGGCCTTTGGCTACCACAACTCATCCTTCATTCTCCGTACCTCGATCGATTATGGCTTCTAGCAATACTCTGTCTGTGTGTGTGTTTTTTTTCCCTTAAAGAGGGGCAAAAATTAGAGTAAATTATAAATTAATCCCTCCAGTTTATAGAAACGAATTAATTAGTCCATTTTAAAAAAACTAATTATTTAGTCCTTCATGTTTTGATTTTATCAATATAATAATTTAATCATTTCATCAGTTTTTTATTAAATCAGTGATTTTTATTTTCAAATTGTAATTTCTTTGATTTTTGGTTGAGAAGAGAGAAAGTGAGTGAATAAAAGAGAAAAATAAAGCATCAAAGAAAGTACAATTTGAGAAAAAATTATTAATTTTAAAAAAATTGATGAAAAGACTAAGTTATTGATGAAATTAAAATATAAAAAACTAAACAATTAGCTTTTAGAGCGAAAATGATTAATAATTTGTTTCTCAAAATGAGAAGGACTAATTTATAGTTACTCACCAAAAAGAAAAGGGGGATGATGACAAGTCTTGTGAAGCTTCATTCATTTTTTTCAATCTCGCTAGCATACTTGAAAGAAATTAACTTCCATCAATTATTTTTTAAGTATTATAAAATTTCTCGTCAAGTCTAGTTCGATGGGGTATTTAAACTATTAGGGACCCGTGAATATTGGGAACCAAACAATGGCCCCTAGCAAGGCCAGTCTCCAGTTTCCCAACTTACCACTGACCCACTCACTTGCCACAGACCATGCACACCCCTCTGTGCCCATGTTCTTCAATTATTAGCTCAAAATTCCATACATACTATCCGATCATTTATAGTGAAGATAAATTGAAGCAAGCCATTATCCTGTTCAAAACAAAAATCCAACTTAGTGACTGCAATGTTCATGCCAAAGGTGAGTACAGATAACCTGTCTGATTGACCATGGTTGAAATTGTACAAAGATACATGAGTTTGTTGATTTTTGGCCTTACTTGATTTGGAATTTAGCAATAACATAAAATGTGATGTGCCATAATATTTAAAATTCTCAACAATTAATGTCTCAAATATTGAGGTAAACTGACCAAAAAACTTATGACAAAGTAGTAATAAGTTTCTCTACAAAAAATCACGGGTCTGGATCCTCATTTTTTAATAGTTAAATTTAAGAAAAAGCTATATTTCAGAAAAAGATTAGAATAGCTCTTATTCTTTGTAGTGATGGCTAATTCAGATCTGTCGTAATAATATGATCTCGTCTCTTATTTCACTAGCTATTAATGCTAACTTTCTATAACTTAATTATCACTATAAGAAAATAGTTTGTTTGTGATCGTTTTTAGTGATGATATTAAAACTCATTGCTAAATCGGTGAATTAGTGACGGTTTTGAGTAAATGATTGTAAATTTGTTTAATGTCATAGTTTTTAGTGACGATTTTTAAAAATCATTGCTACAAACCATGAATTAGCGGCGGTTATGTATAATCATCGCTAAATCTGTGACTTTTTAAATAATGTTAAGTGATGGTTTGTGATTATTAAGCGACGGTTTACAATAAACCGCCGTAAAATATTTCCAAAAATGTGACTAATTATGATTACCTATAATTTTTTTTTAACGATGGTTTTAACCGTTGTTAAATGTCATTTTTCGAATAGCGTATTGACATAGAGTGTAGAGTCCTATTTATGACAATATATATATATATATATATGTATAGGTAGATCGTGGGACACTAACAATGGCATTGAACTAGACAGATAACAAATATTCCAGCTTATTAATTCCTGCTTGTTTCAAGGGGGCCGGAATATATGTTGTGTCTATGGATGGACCATGTAGGACCTTGTATATAAAATTCACATGGAAGGATTTCATGCTTTGTTTTGGTAGGAAGTAGCTTTATTATCCGGTTAATCATTTCGGATTTAAATTCAAAGCGAGATGAAGGTAAGAAATTCCTTATAAATGTACTTCTAGTTTGGATGCCTATGATCTATCTAAAACTAGCCGAAAGATATCCGACTGGCAGACGAAATTCACAAAGGACTTACAAATGTTGAAATTATAGGTTTTGATTCAACTATTGTACTTCGTTTGTTTGAACTTAAGCACTTTTCCATGTGCCTATGTCGGGCCTGGAAATTAAATACTGGATCACCCAACTTCGGTCTATGTTCAGTCTATTTTTTGTACATATCGGTAGTTGAACATGTTGACAATGGCGCCAGACGGTGTGATCCAACAATGTGAACGTACAATCACCAGTTATTCGAAAATGTGTTCAGATTTCAGGTGGTATCTGATGTACAAATCCACTGTTAAAAGGGAGTGTCAAGGTTCAAGCAAACAATGTAATATATTTGGATGACACTTATGATCGTATAATCTTTAACTGATCAAGAAAATCTATATAGATGAATGTTTAAAAAGATGAGACTCTATTCGAAATGTAAGCGAAAAAGTATATTTTATGGAAGAGAAATTTTATAATACATCAAGAGTAATTAGTGACATGTATAATAGTTACTTCATGAGTCTATTCGGGAAGAGAGATAGATATATAAAAAAATAATGAAATTACATCTATACCTACTAAAAGTGACAAGAAGATTTTTACGTCCGCTTAAATTTTTTTATTTTCTCTCTCTTATTTCTCTCTCTCTCTCTTTTTCAAAATAGGCCCATGAAGAAACTACTATACATGCCACTAGTTACTCCCGATGTATTATAAAATTACTATTTTACTAAATCACTCTTGTGAATGTTTCAAACGATCTTAGCTGGAATAACAAATTCGGATGATCGAATCTAGTTTCATCAATTAAAAGTGACAGATAGCATCATTAAATGATAATATGCTCCTAAAATCAGTTTTGTCTAGCCAGCACCAATCATGATGCGATCTTATTCTCCCAATTGTGATATATCAACACATAAAAAGAAAAATTTTGTTTCTTAACTAGATGTGAAAGGTTGTTGACAATTAAAAAATAAAATTTCCTACCCATCCTTTCATATAACTCGACGAGGGATGCACTTGGCTATATAAATAATCAAGAGACTTAAATTTTCAAGTTTTGAATCTTTTTATCAATTTTCATTATTCAACATTTTTTTTCATACTTGAATCACTGAATCATGGTTTTTTCATGCCGCCACCCTTCTTCTTGTATTGATTTAATCATTGACTATATATAATTTGTGTTAACCCACCTTTTTCAAAAGAGTATTTTCTAAGAGCATGCATTAATTAATATAAATGTAATGTGGTAATCCATAATTTCATATTTTTTATGATGAAAATTAAAATATTTTATTTACATAAATTAACGTGTGTCCTTAAAAAATATATTTGAAAAAAATATATTTAAACTTGTGACCTCTAAGTTGAAATTACAAGTTGCATGGACAACTTTAAAATAATAGAAATTGTGATTTCAATTTTTATGATTTTAATAACTATTTTGTTTATGGGCCCTAAGCTTTCAAAACCCATCTCCGTTTGCATGAGACTCTTTGGGCTGCGGGCTTTGTGGGCTATTGGATGGAGTTGGCCCAATTCCAGAGACCTCCAGTCCTTAGTAGATCGAGAAATCCGTAGAAAACCAATCTATTAAATAAAACCCCTAAATTATAAATAAGTTCCCCTATGGTTTCGAAAAATAAATATATTAGTCCCTATATTTTCAAAAAAATAATTATTTATTTTTTATATGTTTAAATTTTCTTATAATTTAATTTTTTAAGTTATTTTTATTTTTCTATAAAAAATATAAAAAATTAATGATAAAAGATGATATATTATTTTCTTAAATAAGTAATATTTTACTAAGTATGATGATCATTAGTCAAGAGAAACCAAAGGACTAGTATTTCAAAACTAAAAAGGACTAGTTAATTAGTTTCTGAAAACTAAAGGGACAAGTTTATAATTTATTTCCTCTTAGCCCTCAAAATTCCCTCCGTTTTAAAGGAGAGAGAGAGAGAGAGAGAGAGGGGGAGGGAGAGGGAGAATTACTGCAACTCCAAAACCCTAGAATTCCATGGCGACAATCGGCGAAACCTCCACTGCTCCTCCTCAATCGAAGCCCGTTGTTGTTAGGGTTAAACGCAAGTCTCACCAGTCTCGCCTCGACGCCTTCTGTAAGTCATTAACAACTTTCTAACTTTCGTTCTCACTCTCGCTCTCTAGCTGACTGTGCACGCGCGCGCGGCATATAGGGCTTGAAATCAATGAGAGACCGACGAAGCGGGCGATGTTGGATTTGGAGAAGTTGTCAATTACTAATTCTGTTGATGCTAAAGGTAATATTTTGAGTTAATTTAATTTTAGTTGTTTGAATTGAATTTTGTTAGTTTTAAAGGAGAATTAGCTTTTTAGGTTTTTTTTTTCCTTAATGGAAATGTTTGATGAAGGAAGTAACTACACTTTGATTTTGAGTCGTGGAAAAAAAATGGAAACTTTTGAGAACTTGTCATTTGGGTATTTTTCTTGGATTGAAGGACTATAAAGGAAGTAATTTTTGTTAGTGTTTTATTTTATTTGGGAAATTATGGAAATTATTGCAACGTATGATGTTCAACAAAAGATTTTGAGTTGCAAAGTTGTGAAATTAGGTTAAGTTGGATATACAGATGGTTTGTTCTGTTTTTTTTTTTTTTGGTAACTAATTTGTTGCTTTGTTACAATTCATGGGTGTCATTTCGATCATGGGTTTTTGGTTTTATATATCTTTGTGTGGTGATGTTTACAGTGGAGGAGTTGGCGGCTAAGAAAGTTTTTGTGAAGCATGTTGAGACAGTTACTAGCACGGACACTACAATGGAGATAATACAATCATTTGCGGTCAGTGTGGAACTCTTTTTTTGTTGTTTATGTCTATAAGTTTTATGAGGTAATCATGACCTTATGAGTGCCATGCTAGAATATGCTGCTTGTATTTGTTTTTTTTTTTTTTTTAACCTGTCCTTTTTACTAGGCAGTTCATTTCCTTTGCAAATGTCTAATTTTTGTCGTATTGCACCTTTTAAAGAATGTGTCGCTGTTCGTTTGCAGTCTAATTCTGCTAATGTAGTTGAAGAACAAAAACGGACCATTAAAAAGTATAGCGTAAGTTCTCTTTCAACCAGTTAAACTTTGTCAATTAGTCTGATTATAATTTCAGATATTTATGCTATCTAACACTTTGTGCATTTCCAATCTAATGTTGGCAGAAACAAGAGCAGTCGAGATCCAGACAAAATCAAGAGGTATGCTTCAATTTATGCCGACTTCTTTCTTGATTTGTACCCAATTGGATATGATTTCCAGGGATTACTTTTCAATCCTCCAGTTGATGCATTCATGTGCATCACAACTTCAGTTATCAGTTTTTGGTTTTCCATCAAATGCTGTGTGTCATTTTTTTCCCCATGATTATTGTTCAGCCTCTAATTGCAATACACGTACTTTACTCGGAATTGATGCAAATTGATGAATTTTATCCTTTAATTTCTTCTAGAATACTTGTGCTTCTAGTGTCTGAAATCCCTGTACTTCAATTGTATGAGATAGCAAACAGACAAATATTTATGATGGTAGACTAGGAATTGCATGTCACTCCTATGATTATCTTAGTATTTGCAGAAGGCTGATGTGATATAATCTCTGCTTGTCTCACGATCAACCCAACCTGAGACCTTTTTTAGGTCTTTTGAGATGTTTTAATTGAAATTTTATATCATTTCAATTGTGTCTTAATAGTTCTGAAAGTCAGCCTGAGAAGATACAATTTACCCGAGTCTGTTTTTTCAGAAAGATTTTGGTTGGTTTGTGCATATCTGCCTTTTGATACCTGAAACATGTACAATATACCACGTTTTCACAATGATTGCAAATCTTTTTTCTATTTCTCTGACATTTGTAGTCATTTAATCACCCCCACCACTTTCTGGTAGGTATTGGCATCAAATGCTCGCTTTGAGCAAATTTGGAGGAACCAAAGGGGAAACAAAGATAAAGCACTGCATGACATGTGTCATTTCTATGATGTTATTCGTGTTGACGAAAGATTCAATGAGGTGCAAGAGCATGAGTAAGTTTTGTCGTTATGGAATTCATTAGTCTTTAAAATGTACAAACCACAGGTGCAAGTAGTTCAATTTCAATGTTCCTATTGCAGAGGTGTATCTTTGGAGGAACAGAAGATTCTGTCCAGCTATCTTCCTCTCCTAAGAGATTTTCTTCCAAGTGCTGCTGCACAGGTCGAATCTGATATCCGTGCTTACTTGTCCAATCAAGGTGTGCTTTCCATGCAATCCCTTTAGAAGATCATAGCCTGATCTATTTCCTTACCTCTTTAAGTTTAACCAGGTCTCTAGAATTAGAATTGGTTATGATTGATCATGTTCTTCAGTGTTATTTGATGTGTTCTTGTTCTTATGAATCAGCTGTAGATGATTATGTGTATGACTACTACACTGTGAAGGATGACATGGACATAGATGACATAGATGTCACTAGCCCATTTCCTCTGTAAGTGTTGCATGTTCTGTATTTGTTTGGCTCCATCTCTCTTATGTATATTGTTGTCATTGAAACCTGTTTAGCCTTGTTTCAGGGTAAAAGTTGAGGATGAGGATTTCTATGATGGCCCAGATGATGAATCCGAATATGACACTGATGATTCAAATGGTATCATTTTTACTACTTTCTCATTCCTTGAATTCAAAATGGTTTTTTTTTTTTTTTACTTCATTTTCCTTCCCTTTTGTGGTTATCAGCTGAAGATCATCCACGGAATGATTACCCTGATGAATCATCTTTAGAGGACAATGAATCAGGGAGTCAAGCATCTCTTGATGAATCTGAAGAAGGAGAGGAGGAAGAGGAAGATGAGGAAGATGATGCTTCCAGCATTAAGCATTCAGAACCTGATGGTGGTGACAATTTTGATGATGATGGAAGTTATGATGATTTTTATTGGGTCGACGATGATGATTGTCCTGAATGTGAATATGGTGGTGATGATGAAGATCGGAGCTGATTTGATCAGTGAAACGCTGCTCGTGTTCTTGATTCCATGCACTGTTGAAAAAAAAGATAAAGTATATACGCCCAACTCTAACTGAAGCTAAACTGTAGAGAGACATGTTTTAGAATGTAGGACACTGGTCCCTGAACATTGAAGATATACCAGAAAGAAAATGTCTACTAGTTTTACTTGGTAACTTTGAGCACCTTATGGTGCTTATAATTTTGGCCTTGGTGGTAGAACCTTGACTTAGGGTTTCAATGCTTATAATTTTGGCTTTTTCTAGCTTTTGAACCTATGAGGAGAGACATAAGTGTGCTTTTTGCACCAAGCTCAGTGCTTTTTTGGAGAGGTATCTGCAATCTGGTTTCTCCAGGCTTGAATGAGAAGTTTTTGATTCTATAAATCGTAAAAATGTTGTTCAAGACTCCTCTGCTATAAACCTCTGGTTTATTCAATTACCGAAAGTTCAGTTTAACAATTATCATTACTCTATTTTGCACATTTTTACTTATAATCTCGTAATGTCTTACTAAAGTGTAACCTCATGCTTCAAAAAAAAAAAAAAAAATCCCAATCTTGATTCATTTATGGACACACGTGTGCATATGGGTAAGTTTATAAATAAATTGAATCTTGATATAAATTCGATGTAATTAAATAAATATAGTATATGATTGTTATTATTTGAATCTGATTATGATTTGAATGTGTTAACTTGTTTATTAAATAGCTCAAAAATATGGATCTATATGCATTTGGTATGAAATAATTATATAATTTTTGATAACTATAATATTTTAAAATTATAAAAAAAATTAAATAAAAGATTAAGAAAAAAATGTGGCACTAGGTTTAGATTTAGGGTTTATTTATTATAAATGTTAGCAAATGTTCTGTATTTTTATTCTTTTTTCCATCCACACTGACAACTATTTTTTCAAGCAATTACATGATAATTTTTTTTCCCATCATTGTCAAGTCTCAAATTAGTTTTGTTAAAAACTCTCTAAACTTATAAGGAAAAAATAAAAAAAATTAATGAGTTGTTACTAGTATAATATTTGTGTTTTTAAATTATAAAATCTTGATTCATTATGAGTTTTTATCTATTTCAAATTTGTTATTCGTAAAACACTAAGATTTTCTTTCATATCAATCAATTTTTGTCTGGAGTGGGCATTTTTATTATTTTTCTTTAAATTTGTAATCCTTACTTCTAATTTAAATTAATTTTGACCTTTAACATGAAACTTTATTGGGGTTATTTCATTTGTTTTTTTTTTAATTGTGAGACATTTAGATTTTTTTTAATTGATATATTAAATCTTATCATATTTTATTTTCTTATATACGATATAGTTGAAACTCATTTTATATTGATGTATGATTTTGAATGTAGTCAATTTTTTTTTTTTTAGAAAAATTAAATGATAAATCCGACTAATATCCAGATCCAAGAATCGAATTTGAACCCATTAAAATCTAGATTTGAATTGATAATTGCAAATTTCAATTTTAAATTAATAAAATTTGATTTGATGCGTTTATTCAGATCGAAATCTATTATGATCCGATCCAAATTCGATCCATTTACGGCCATACTAGCAGGGACACAGTTGTGTGTTGAACACAAGAGCACATGTTTCCTGCCATGTCACTCTTCTAAGACTGGTGCTGTGGTACTGCATCCATCATGCTCCCACTCCACTCTAAGCACACCATATGCTGCATTTGAGAAATGTATAGTGCTTAGCCTGCTGGGATCAAATCAAGTATCCTTCCTAAGGGACATGGTGCCTGCCGGTTTCCCTTCCTGTGATGCAAAAGGTATCACGCTCAGAAGGAGAAGAAGGTCATGCTTTCATCATGCTTTGGACATCAGCACCTATACAAAGCTAGAATTAGCATATGTTTGAGTAGTAGTTGTGCAGAAAAAAATAACCTAAAAGATGGGATTAGTAACAGCTGAAGAAGGGGGATGCCATCCTATGGAGTATCAAATCCTCCTCTAATGATGTATAAAATGACATTTATTACATTGAAGAGGTAAGAACATAGTTTTAAATAACCTTCAAGTACGTCAATTACGTTATAGAATGACTGTTATGTAATGGTTTCGAAGTATTCTGTTATTGTTATTTTAGTATCATAATAAGTCGTAATTGTGATGGCGACTGTGATGGTTTTTTTAATTTTCTGTGATTTAAAATTATGAGTAAAAAGTCCGTATATGGTATCTAATGATTCAGTACAAGAATTCAACTCACTACTGTAGGTGGACAGGATTGTTTGCTTAGTCATCAATCTCCACTAAACATTCTTACACTTTACTGCTGTCAGCCATGAAAAGCAAACCATCGAAAACGCGTTTAGCTTCCCGGTGGAGAGCCACTTTATGCAGTCTCTCCAAGTCCCTAAATAGGCAAATTGGTGACAACCAACCATATATTGTTAATGGTGATTCAAGTTATTCCGTACTAATGAAAGATCTTTCTGCTATTTCCTTGTGCATGTCTCTGTGGTTGGCACGTTCTGCACAAGTTGCTTCGTGTACAATATATCTTTTTGAATTGTTGGTTACAGCTTACAGTTCATGTATTAAAAAAAAGCTGAGTTTGCTAAGATTTCAACTTCAAGATTTCCTAGCCAGCTCCAAAATTCAAAAACATTCTTTGAAATTGTATAGTGGGATGGGGGCCTTGTAATGATAACATCTTTGAATTATAAATTAAATGGATGAAGCCAGTGATCATGTCTAGTGTTCAAGGCTATATAAGTCATGGAATTGCCAATGTTTATGCACACTTTGAGACTCCAATGGAAAACCACAGCAATACAGCTCTTTTGCTTGATAGAAAAGATATTGTGCTTGTTAAACCTGCAAAACCAACACCTTCAAAGGTTCTTTCTTTCTCTACTATTGACAATGATCCCAACCTTGAAATTCTATGTCATAGTGTTTATGTGTACAAAGCAAATTCTGTTTCTTCTAATAATGGCAATGCTGACCATGATCTTGCATCGAAACTTAATTGCCAAGCAGACCCTGCTTGTGTAATTAAAGATGCTATATCGAAAGTTTTGGTTCATTACTATCCTCTAGCTGGAAAGCTGAAGAGGGACGGTAAAGATAGAAAACTTCATGTCAACTGCAATGCTGAAGGTGTGCCATTCTTAGAGGCAACTGCAAATTGCAAACTTGCTTCTCTTAAGTACCTAGATGGGATTGATGCTGAAACTGCCAAAGAATTTGTCTTCGATTTTCCATCAAAGAGTGATTTTGGTTACCACCCTTTATTGTTTCAGGTGACCAAATTTTCATGTGGGGGTTTCGCCATTGGAATGGGCTTATCGCACTCGGTTTGTGATGGCTTTGGTGCATCACAATTGTTCAGAGCCTTGGCAGAACTTGCTAGTGGTAAAGCTGAGCCCACGGTGAAACCTGTGTGGGAGAGGGAGAGGCTAGTAGTGAAGCCTACTCAGGGACCTCTCCTATCCCCAGTGGACAAGACTTCTTTAGCTGCCTCACCATATTCGATAACAGATGACATTCTGCATGAATGTTTTCTTGTGAATGCTGAGACCATAAAAAGACTCAAAACGAGTCTCGTGAAGGAATGTGGAGATCATCAAGTGATCATAGAAGAAAGTTTCACCACTCTTGAAGTTCTTGGTGCTTACATTTGGAGGTCAAGGTTTAGAGCGTTCAAATTGAACCCAGATGGAAACACCTTGTTCTGTCTAGCTATGGGGATAAGACACCTTGTAAATCCACCATTGCCAAGTGGGTACTATGGAAATGCTTTCGTGGGCACAAATGTGGTCATGATGGGGAGAGACCTCCATGAAGGGCCATTATCTAGGGCTGCCAAGCTCATCAAAGAGAGCAAGAAACATGCTACCGATACTGAAAACATTTGGAACCAAATAGGCATCTTGGACAAAGTCAGGGAGCTAAACTTTAAGATTGATTCAGATAATGGTGCATCCATGATTTTAACTGACTGGAGACAATTAGGTCTTCTGGAAGAAGTAGATTTTGGATGGAAAGGTTTAGTGAACATGATACCAGTGCCATTGAAGATGTTTGGCTTTGTGTATTTGTGTATTTTCTTGCCTCCTTGCAATTTGGTTCCTTCAACGAAAGGTGGGGTTAGAGTTCTTGTTTCTCTCCCAAGAGCTGTCATGCCCAAGTTCAAGGAAGAAATGCATGCTCTCTCTCAGCTTCGTCGTGAAGATGTAGTTCCAATGCTTGAACCTGCCATATTAACTTGATTTGGAATAAGATAATAATGTATGTGATATCTAAATTATGCTACTTGTAATCTTATTTTGATTATCATGCCCTAGAAATATATCAGCATGAAAAAGAAAAAATGCCCCATGAAATTTGTAAAATTTGATTTATTTCTCATATGAATCTTCTATTGCTAGCTTTAATCATTAATAGCCATGCATGAAAAGTACAATGAAAAACAAGTACAACTATGATACAAAGATTTCATGATTATTTTCTGTTTTGTTAAAGGAGAAATTTATGCTCACCAAGTTTGCTGATCAAGATACCAATTTATTTTCATATGAAAATAGACACCTAAAAACTATTTTTCTCAACTGATTTTTTACGAGGTATTTTCGGATCAGATTTTTCAAAATTTATCAATAGTTTATGGCTAATGGCCCATTTCAAAAAAAAAAAAAAAAAAAAAAAAAAAACTTTCCAACGGTGAGAATTTTTGAAATGTGAAAATTAAATTTCTAACTTAATGAGTTCTATATATATATATATATATATATATATATATATATCATTTTACGTATAACCTGTGATGGTATATTATGTCCATATGTACTAGGCAATGTTTGGACTTAAATACTTTTACATTATGTTAATTTCAAATAATTTATATTATTTTAAGGATATCATTGTATTTATTTTAAATGAAAACTTTAAGTACTTCTACATATTAAAAAATATGATAGTAAATTGCCATTAACCCTCCTCATAGGAAGAAGACTTGATTTTGACGCTTGAGGTAGTAGCATAGCGGTTGAGGGTTTACCTTGATGACCATCGAGTTCGATTCTCTTTGCGCATATCTGTCACTCTCGCGGTGTCTTACATATCCATTGAGTTTGCATAGTGTTCAATGGGTTTAAGGATTAGTCGTGATACGCGTAAGTTAATCGGACACACTGAGTTATCAAAAAAAAAAAAAAAAGACTTGATTTTGAGACGTGGAGGTCGACATTTTTTTAGCACTTGTTTGATATTTAAATGGATTCTATTATTTATTATTATTTTGTTTATCATGTGGAGCTCATATGTGATGGAAAGATGTTTTTGCTTTTTCAAAAAATTGGATTAGACAATGAGAAAATCAGAAAAACTACTAACGAGTGCGATTAAACTCTTTGGTACCCTTGTCAACCGTACAAAGTTGAGCTTTTCAGCTGTTTCGGTCTTTACTTTCGAAGTTTCAACACTTCTTCTCACTAATGTTGTTGTCTTTTAAACAAAGTTGTCTATCTGACTGCCTTTTGTCTTTATTCTGATTCGCTTCCTTAATCTACACGAATCCAATTCCATTCCTCTCTTTGCCTCCAAAACCCATAGTTCTTTTGTTTCCAAATGAATTGAAAATCACAAAGCAGTGACTTTTCTTCTTTTCTATGGCTTCTTGGGCTCCTGTGTATCCAGCTGCTGTGCCAATCCCAGTTGATCTTTTTGTCTCCAAGAAACATCCTGGTCTTAATGGTGACTTGGGTTTTGCTGATTCTTTAGGAAATATTGTCTTCAAGGTCAACTTTGATAAGTCTACAAAATCATCCCCCAAGAGGGTCCTTCTTGATGCGTCTGGAAATCCTTTGATCTCTGTGTTTCGGGATGATGTGAGTTCATTTACATGGATATTGAGATATATGCTTTGTTGAGTAAAGATTCTAACTTTGACAACAAATTGATGGTGGTGGATTAGCTTTGTTTGATTAATCTAATTATCTATGCTAACCCAGTTGGGTATTTAGTTCTGAATTGCATGATTTTCTCCTGTTAGAAGATGCCGTAACAGTGTTCAAGCTCTTGTTCTCTTGAGTTCATGGCTATTACTTGCACCTGAAAACCTTGAAGAAAATGATGATTTTAGTTGAAAGTAATTTATGTGAGAATTGATTCTATTTTATGATGATTATATCCTTGATTTTGAAATTTATTATATTGCTTGCACATTTGATCATTAGAAAAGATTTGATTTTTTTTTTTTTGGAGGATGCTTAATAGAGAATCTGGAAATTTATTTTTGGAGTGAGCATTTGTTAATTGTCAAAAATTGATTAATTTGAGTGGTTAATGCACCATATCAGTCTGCTTTAACTGGTTTGTGCATGGTTAGAATCTGAAATGTATTCAATATCTACCATCTGCTGTTATTTGGAAGGCAGATGAATTTTCTGCATCAATATCTTATTCTGTGGAGTCATGTGCACACACTCATATAGTATGCAATGAAAATTAGTGTCTTTAGCTTCGATCATCCATCTGTAATTCAGATGCTTGTACTTGTTATCGCCGGGACATTATGAAACTTCGTTTTAATGGCTTAGCATTGCTTCTCTAAAAACCAGATCTTTCCAATAGATGTCAAGCATTTTTTTTTTTTTGGATGATGTCTAATTAGTTAATTAGGTTGTTGCTTGATTTCATTGGTTGCAGATTCTGTATGATTATCGTTCCGTGGGTCTGTGAGAAGCAACTTGATTTATTTCTTGGTTGCAGGAAGGTTCTTGGCAAGGTTTTAAGGGTGGTGGTTATAGGGAGAACGACTTGATCTTTAGAGTGAAGAGGACTGTGAAAAAGCTTACAAGAACTGAGCTAGAAGTGTTTCTTGTTGGAGAAATTTCGGGAGAGTCAACACCTGACTTTAAGGTAAAAGGTTTCCCCTTCCAAAGATCATGCACGATCTACAGAGGCGATTCCATTGTAGCCCAGGTATTATTAATAAATTGCAACTGAGACTGGCTTAGGATGTTGCCTGTTGAATGAAAAAACATTAACAACAATTGCTATATTAGTTGGAAAATTACAGTTTGTTTGTCTTGTCTTCCTTCAAAGCCTTGAAAAAATCTGTTAAGCCGCTTCGATTTTCACAAGCCATCTTCATAATTATGCATTATTCATCTACATTGAACTGAGGGCTTTAGATCTGTTTTCCATACTTGACACGACATTTGGATTATCTACCCCCTATTGAGGTAGATAATCACAGTAATATCTATAATGTTCAATGTCAATCGCATGAGTAATAAGGTGTTTCATGTTATCGGTGCGCAAATATCATTCTCAATGATTTCCTTTTTCTTTTCCTCTGATCTCGATGGATGCTTGTCTCGAACTATTTATGAATGCAATCGTTGTTTAATCCTGTTAAGAACGTTTGTTTCCTTTGTTTTTTTGTCCCCTCCAATTGTAATAATTATGCATTATTCATCTGCATTTGAACTTACTGCTTCAAATCCATTTTCCATGCATGAGACCACATTTGGATTATCTACCCCCTATTGAGTTAGATAGTCACAGTAATATCTATAATGTTCGACGTCAATCGTGTGAGTAATAAGGTGTTTCTTGTTATCGGTGTGCAAATATTATTCTCAATGATTTCCCTTTTCTTTTCCTCTGATCTCGATGGATGCTTTTCTCAAACTATTTATGAATGCAATCGCTGTTTAATCCTGTTAAAATGGTTTTTTTTTTCCCTTCTGGGTATGATTTGTATAATGCTCGCCAACTAGGGTCATCGTCTACATTCTGCTTAATCTCATGTGGAAATTCCGACCTTTTTTGAACTGGGAAGTTCTACTTATTGTCGTTGTTATCAAATAGAGATTCTAATATCACATTTGATTTGATGCAGACCAGTCTCATGTACAAGCTTCACCAGATTTGTGCTCGCCGGAGTAAATTCCGATTAACCATATTTCCCGGATCTGTAGATCATTCCTTGATTGCATCTTTGATTGTAATTTTCTTATATGGACAATAACAACTGGACTGAGAATTTACCTTTGTACATTATTTCATGCTCACACGAGAATGCAAATGTTGTTTCTTTGGAAGCACAGAAAATATATCATTGCCATTTTTCTGATGTGTAGGTTCAACTTCTTCTTAGCACTGGAAATACAGCTTCTAGCATGGACAGTGACGCATGATCTTGACAGAAGTTACACGAAAATATTTAGTTGACAGTTTTAAAAAAATCAGATAACCAAATAATTAACGGAAGTTAGACGAAAATATTTAGTTGACAATTTTTTAAAAATCTGATAACCAAGTAATAGATAGAAAGTAGATGAAAATATTTTGTTGATAGTTTTGAAAAAATTGATATATTCAAATGGAAAAAAAATAAAATTTATATATTTGATTGAAAAGAAAACTAAAAATTAGTATATTTACAATGAAATTATTGGATTATATAAATAAATCAGCAAACTGTTTTTCAAGTAAAATGTCACGTATACATGTCCCCAAAAAATGAAGCTAGATGACTCGTCATTCAATAGGGTCTCGTCCAGCGACATGTCGTTAAAACTCCCAGTCTCCTTCTCTCTTTCCAAGCTAGAGAAGAAGCTCCAGCTCCAATTCAGAAATAAAAACACAGAAAGCTTCGAACTTTTTAAACAAAAAACCCACAAATCCCTCTCTCTCTCTATACATAAAACCCCAAAATCTATCCTTCTCCGACGACGCGTCGCTTCTGCACAAAGAGAGAGGAAAGAGAATGGGCAGACAGAAAGGGGAAGCAGCAGCTAACAGAAGCAAGTCTCGTGCTTCAAGCAGCAGGTAATTTTGTAATTCTCAATAAAATTTGAGGTTTTTTTTGGTGGATGACAATTTTGTAATTGTTTTGATTTGATTTTGCAGTCTCGCGGCGTCTCTAGTTCCGTCGGCTTCGGCGGCGGCAACGGTGGGGTTCGGTGGTTATATTGGTAGCTCCCGTTTTGAGACAGATGATTCCAGCGCCTTTTTGGTATGCATGCTTTCTTCTCTAAAGTATCTTTCTTTCTCAAGTAAAATTATTTAGGCGTTGGCTTTGTTACTGAATTTTGTATTTTTGTAATTAGAGGGCTCAATAGTGATTAAGTGTGCAGTTAGAGGATTTAATAACTATGATTAACTGGAAGTTGTTTTTGGAAAAAGCTTGTTGGTGGAATTTTGCAATTAATGAAACTAATAGTGATCATCTGTTTACTGGAGATGGTCAATGGAAGCTTGTTGCTTTAATGATTTCTTCTTCTTCTTCTTCGTCCTTTTTTTTTTTTTTTTGGGTTGTTGGTAGGATATAGATGGCGAAGTGGCACAACAATTAAAGCGACTAGGAAGGAAGGATCCTACTACAAAGGTAAGATATAGCCCTTTTTTTCTTCAAAAGAAAAAGAAAAAAATGGGAATGTTTGATCATGGTATGTGAACTATTGTATTAAAGAGTAAGAAGAAGACGAAGAAGCTTATTGTGGTGTTCGTGATTTTTTGGACAGCTTAAAGCTTTGCAAACTCTATCTGCTCTGTTCAAGGAAAAGTCTGGAAAGGAAATAGTTCTGATTATTCCACAATGGGTCTGGTTCTTTTCCTTTGCCTCACTCTTCTTTGGAAAAGACTTTATCGAGATCACCTTTTAAATGCTACTTCATGTTTAGGGATATGAATACAAGAAGTTATTGTTGGACTATAATAGAGAAGTTCGACGAGCCACACATGAGACCATGACAAATCTTGTTGCAGCAGTCGGGTATGGACATTTCCCCTTTTTATAAGATACTTAGCAGGATCTTTTGATCATCCCTACTGTAAGATATGACCTGTTTGGAAATATTAGTTAATGGATGGAATTCTGCACATCGCATGCTTTGGATTGTGATATGACAAAAGTTGTGTTTTACCTTTTCGATGCCATCATGGTAACAGATTTTTTGAAAGTCTTAGCTTCTTTTTAGCATGATTATTTAAGGGTTTCATAATTCTTAGTCTGTGCTAATAACTTGTGGTGGAACCTCTGTTTTCTCAGAAGAGATTTAGCTCCATATCTGAAGTCTTTGATGGGACCGTGGTGGTTTTCACAATTTGATCCAGTTTCTGAAGTTTCTTTAGCTGCAAAACGATCATTGCAGGTTTGCTGCCATTTCTCTTAAGTTTATAAAGGATGCCTTTTTAACTTTGGTTAGAAGAGAGACAGAGACGCTGCTGCTAAAATAATAGACTAACATGCTGAGAAAGCTGAGAAAGCAGTTTGCTGTTGTAAATGCCAAAATGTTTGTACTGTATTTTAGTTATATTCCCTTCAGAAAGGAACGCATATTTTTAATTGGTCTTTGCAAAGTGTTGCTAGCATCTTCATAAACTTTCACTTCCATTTATTTCAGAGGCACAGTCCTTTAATGTATGGTAGCTTCTATGAGCTTTTAGTAAGCAATTAAGGTGCAAGTTTGTGTTGCCTATGGCTTTAGTTATAGTCTTAATGTCTATTGTGTGCAACAGGCTGCCTTTCCAGCACAGGAAAAGAGATTAGATGCCTTAATTTTATGCACATCTGAGATATTTATGTATTTGGAAGAAAACCTGAAGCACACACCACAAAGCATGTCATCAGATAAAGTAACTCCTTTGGATGAATTAGAAGAGATGCACCAGCAGGTACATTATGGTTTCCTTTTATCCCTTTCTTTGGTTGATTATCTGGACTGTTTACCACTGTTTTGTTCTCTGTTTCTTCTTGTTGTTTTTCCTTTCAAGTCATTGGTTCCATTAATTTTTTTAACATGCTGATTCAAACATATCATCTGCAGGTTGAATGATGGAAAAAATGACCCTAAAAAAACGGCTTGAGAGTTTAATTTGATAATAGTAGAAATTATGTTGAAACCTAATCAGTTCATGCTAGATAAGAAGTGACTATCTTTAGTAAAATTATCTTGGAGAAATCCTAGAATATATAAAGTTTGTTAAGTCTTGAAAATTGAGTTTTGACTGGTTGAATTTCAATTATTATATTTCTTATGTTGTCTTTGAAAAGAAAGGCCAATCATAGTCAAAATCATGTTTTTCTTTTTTCTTCTAAAACCTGGTGCGTTTTCTGAAACCTGATGTTTCAATTCTCAATATCAATATATCAACTGCTGATGTTGGGTTTGCTTCACATAGCCACTCAGGTGTTTTTTTGATCCACTAACGAATTTGTGCCTACTGTTTTTCATGATTTCAGGTGATAGCTTCATCTTTACTGGCATTGGCCACTCTTCTTGATATTTTGGTCTGTATGCAATCTGAGAGACCTGGTTTTGAGAACGTAGCCTCAGAACCAAAACATGCTTCAAAGGCTAGGGAAACTGCTATTTCTTTTGGTGAAAAGTTGTTCTCAGCTCATAAATATTTTCTTGACTTTCTGAAGTCCAAAAGCCCCGCAATCCGGTCAGCTACATATTCAGCATTAAAGAGTTTCATTAAAAATATTCCTGATGTTTTTAATGAAGGAAATATGAAAACTCTTGCTGCTGCAATACTTGGTGCTTTTCAGGAAAGGGATCCTACTTGTCATTCATCAATGTGGGATGCAATACTATTATTTTCAAAAAGATTTCCTGACTGCTGGACTTCGTTCAATGTTCAGAAAACTGCGCTAAACCGCTTGTGGCATTTTCTTAGAAATGGGTGCTTTGGATCTCAGCAGGTCTCTTATCCTGCTCTAGTTCTATTGTTAGATGTTCTGCCTCCTAAAGCAATAGCTGGAGAAAAGTTTTTTCTTGATTTTTTCCGAAACCTATGGGATGGAAGGAACCCATCCAATGCAACAAATCCTGATCGTCTAGCTTTTTTTCGTGCATTTAAAGAATGTTTTCTTTGGGGGTTACGTAATGCATCGAGGTGCGATTTCGCTCAGCTATTCTCATAGCATTCTATCTTCTGTTTCATCTAATTGCTTGTGTGCAATAATGGATCTGGTGACCTTTTCAAATATTTTTTGTATTCATTTTAGTTTTATGGTATTGTAACTCATCTTTCTTTGATGTCAGGCTTTGTGATGAGTCAGATTCCATACATCATTTTCAAGTCAGTCTTGTTGACAATATCCTCGTGAAGCTTCTGTGGCAAGAATACCTGTTTTCTATTGGCTCTAAGAATCTGGACAGAGTATCCTCTGGAATACCTGGGAATTCTTTGGAGCATGGAAATTTACCTTTTCACCACGAGGCAGTAGAACCACTGAATATCAAGTATTCTAGGAGTTATTTTCAAGAGTTAGGAAAATGTATTGTGGAAATTCTATCTGGCATTAATTTACTGGAGCATGATCTGCTTTTTACTTTCTCTGCGGCATTTAAGGAACACTGCCTCTGGATGTTTCAGCCGACGGAAAACGCAGAAAGTACTACTGAGAATGTAGAACAGGTCATTAAGTTCTTGTCTCTAATGGAAAGACATTCAGCACGAAAAGGTGAAAGTTGGCCCTTGGTTTATATAGTGGGACCAATGTTGGCTAAGTCTTTCCCATTGATAAGATCTCTTGTAAGTTACTGTTGCCCTACTCGACCCTCAAAATGCTTAACAAGAATTGTGTTTGTAGATTTTTTGGATATTCTGCAATTTTGTTTTTGAACCCTCAAAGAAAGCTTATATCTTGTTTTTAAGACGTGAGCTTTCGTTTTCTTTTATATTATTGTTTTATAACTCATGTTTACCCAAATATTTATTCTTAAATTTTCTCTTGATCTCAGGACACACCAGGTGGTGTGAGACTCTTATCAGTTGCAGTTTCATTATTTGGACCACAGAAGATAGTGCAAGAACTTTGCATCTACTCTGAAGCAGATTCCTCCTGTTCTGTACTTGACGACAGAGACAGAGAATTGGAACCAGAGCTTTTCATGCAAGCTTTCAAAGGAACATTTGTTCCTTGGTGTTTGCTTGAATATAATTCCTCCACCAGTGCTCGACTTGATCTATTGCTTGCATTGCTCAATGATGAATGTTTCTCTGAGCAATGGCAGATGATCATTTCATACGTAATTAATCAAGAAAAATCTGAATCTGAGCCTGGGCTCCTGGAAGCTCATTGCTTAGTTCTGTTGGCAATGCTTTTAGAAAAAGCTAGAGCTGAAATTACGAGGAGGAAGATGAATAATGATTTCAATCACCAGCTCTGGTCGAAACCAGA